ATACACACCTTGAATTTGGTGAATTCACTGCAAGGCTGTGTTTATGGCTCTGCTGGGGCAGCGCGTCTCGGGGTCGCATAAACTTGTCGAGCATTGTCATAAAACTCAACCCTCTGCCGTGACCCCGGCCCTTGCCCCGGCCCCAGCCCCTGCCCAATATTGAACATTGAATATGGAAACACTTCTGGGGCGCTCGTGTAATATCGTGCAAGTCCCTAGCGTGATTCGAGCAAAAATATTTTTCGCTCTGCAATAATTTAGCACTTACTGGACAACAAATGCTCTGCAGATCCCGTACAGTTCAATGTAAGCCATGCCCCCGCCCCACTTGACTTTGACCTTTATTGATGCCAGTTGGTTTTATGTGCTCGGCTGATTGGAATATAATATCGAAACTGTGTGTATGGCCATCGACTTCAGCTTCAACTTCAAGCTGCGTCTCAGCTTCGGTTAATAAAGTCTTCTGTGGACTTCTTGGCAGGACATGGCTTAATTTGTTAAACGTTATCGCTTCCGCTTTCAGCCAACTGCCGCCGCAGTCCGGCCAAACAAAATGCAAGCCAAGACTCTAGCAGCCAACTTGTTTAGCTCGTGCGGCAGGGGGCACAGGGGCGAGCGGAGGGCACAGGCAAGACCTGGCTTGGCTTACCTTGGCTGGCTCTGTGCAGAAGATGTTGCAGTCACGTGCATTGTGCAATAAGCCAAACTTATTTCGCATGCCATGCGATCACTTGCCTTATCGACGCGACGCTTCCATGGCCTTGCCACAACTGAGAGGGGATCTAGCTCAGCCTTGTGTATTGTCGAATGCCTGCCATGAACTATACATATGTATATATTTCAACTATATAACAATATAAGAATTGGTAAACATTGTTAACCAACGTGAAGAGAGAAGTCTAGTAATATTATTAATTCCCACTTATCAGAGATGAGAACAATAATATGGCGAGAATGAGCTAATATTTATTTTGCTATTTACATATGTAAATATGAAAGTATTCGTTAAATTATCTATTTCATCGTAGCAAAACATCAAGTGCCTGCTGTAAACTATAATAATTTAATACAGAAATAAAAATTTATTGAAATAAGAAAAATTGTGGAATATTTTACAGATGAGTAGTTGAAGTTCAACATTGTGAGATATCGATTTGTCCTAGTTAATTCTTGAATATCCATTGCCTGCTATGAATTATAGGGGTATATTTTTTAGGAAATGCAATTTTCTGAAAAAAAAGAAAGGTTGTTGATCAACGTGCGGAGCGGAGAATAGCTGTATTTTATTTTGAAATTCACAATAGGCGAATTGCAAAAATTCTGTAGAGGAGTTCAAGTTAAGGATCAAAATTGTGGGATATAAAGATTATAATTTTGTTCAGTTCTTAAGTAATGGGCTCATCATTTATATGCTATAACTAAATCGTAATGTAACTTTTAAAAGGTACATGATTGAAAATATAAAGGAAATATTCACACATACATATCTATATTATTATTCATCACATTAGTATAATATAACCCCTTGATATAGCTTAATTTCTTGCAGTGTTTACACGTAATGTTCCATAACTTATATATATTTTAGATATGCAATAAAAGAGTGAGATATATATTTAAGATAGACAAAGTATATATAAATATAGTAAGCAAACGGAGTATTTGAATTCTAATAATATTTCATTTAAGAATCTGCATCGATATCCAAAAACAACAACATGAATAATAAATTTTTTTATTATTTTTTTTATTTAGAACACTTGTGCCGGCTGGCTTTGAGACTGGGCTTAGGCGAAGGCGAAGGCGAATGCGAACGCGATGATCATATGTAGATATATAGAAAGACTGCCGCTCAGCTCTCAATCCGGCAAGGTGTTGTCTAGATCGTGGCCACGCATGCGGCAACTGCAGAAGCCGAGTGGATGCTGCTAAAGTTGTAGGAGCACGCCGCATTGCATCGCAGCGCGCCGACAACGTCAAGGTTGTCAGCGACACTAGCTCCAGAGATTAAAGATTCCACCATAAACAAACAAGCGAAATAATTGAGGCAAAATTGAAGCAAACTGCTCGAACTCTCGCAGCGGCAACTGCAACAACTTGGCGATCTTGGAATACGGATATGGCCATGGCAATGGGCATTGGATGCTGGGCACTGGCAGTTGGAAGCTGGGAGTAGGGAGCTGCAAGCTGGTTGAGGCTGCAGCAAACCAGTTGCCGGTGCAACAATTAGCACGGAATTTGTGGGTGCCATTAAACGCGCAACACGATGGCCGCATGTTGCGTTTGCTCCCATTTCCATTTTTATTTACCATTTCGATGGCCATTGCCAACGGTGGGCGATAAAACCGCAGAGTCTATGGACTGCTTGGCTTCCATACGCCAACGGTTCGCAGTACTCCCAAATTGCGGGTCTTAGCGCCAGCTAGCGGAATACTCACACTCAATTAGGCACACTTCAAAGCTGCTTCCCGGCTGGCGAGCTGGCCCGGGATTTTTATTTATGTGGCCGTCGTCTCTCATAATCTCGCATATGCAGACGAAAATTTAATTGCTCGTTGAGATCAAACAAATTGCATGCAACATAAATATGGATCGTACATAGAGCACGACGTCGGGCCACTTGGCCACGAGGCTCGTTCGCGTAACTGGGCAAGCGAGCCGCGAATGAGGTTATGAAATCGAGAGTCTAGCAGAACTATGCGGTTTATAATATATGCTCGTCATCTCTCCACTCACTCTCTTTGCAAAATCTTGATCTTGAAATCCCCGCCTGCATGCACTCCAGACATGTCACAATTTCTCATCGCTCATTTCGATGCAGGAGGCAACTCCGGCATTCGCTAGCCCCATTCCCTCCCATTCAGCTGCGATTTAATAGTTTGCATTTGCCACATTATAGTCTGGGGGACTGATAATAGTTCCCTGCCAACTCGACATTGCCCTTGCGCACAGTCCCCCCTGTCTTCTGGTCTGGCACTTTACGGCCCGGTCTGGTAACAGTGTCCGTGCAAAAGGCGCATATGAAATATGTGCGTCCGTGAAATGACTAAAATTTCTTTGGAAAAGCGCAACATTGTGGAAAATGGGAAATTACAAGAGGCATGCGAAATGCTGCATACTGCCAGAGGTGTTTATAATAGTCGAAACAATATTTCGCATGCTACAAAACTATAAACAGAACATCTGCACCCCGAGCAGACAACTCGCTTCATAACTCAAATGAATTAGCGACTATTTGAATGTCCCTGGATACAAATTGAAGGCTGATGGAGAGAAATGCCAGGATACTGCGAAGAGGAGTGGTGTGTATATAAACTGTGTATGGGTCTCATTTGGATCTAACTGAGTATAACTATGTCTTTCTTTGTGAGAAAGGTAGCTACTTGATCTGTTTAAAAGATATATAATATAACCTTGTTTACTTCATTTACTTTATTCATTCCCACTGTCACGATATAGAGGTGAAAATCTAAATTTATATTTAGTTTTTGATGCATTATAAGTCCATACAATCTAGAATTAATATATAAAAATACAATATGGAAATGTTGGACTTTATAATACCTTCATATTATTGCCACCAAAATTGAACAAACATAAATCTACTTTTTTCATAGCAGAGTCTAGGTCTTAGATATGTAAATGTTTACGAATTCCAAGACGAAATTTATGGCATAAATAATATTAAATTTAATTAACAACACATATACATATATAGAACTCAGGTTAATCAATAAAACATTTCCTATAAATATGACTTAATGTGCATAAAAATAAAATCAATATATGATTGATTGATTGATTTTCTATAGCTCTATGCTTCTATTCTCCGCCAGTGATGGTATTATTACAACATTATAGGATAGATGTTATTAATAAGAGTAATGAGAGTAATTAATATATTAAATAAGGAAATAATAATATAATAATATTATTATTTTTGTATTTTTCCTTTATTTAAATAAAGAAGTAAATAAAAATAGAAAACATAAAATTAAATTGAAAAAAAAGTTGTAAATAAATAATAAATAAAAGGATAAAGATAATAAGAGAGAAACAATAAATGAAAAGGATGGATTGGGAACTTACAATACCTGTTATATATATATATATATGTACAAGTTATATATAATATACAAGAAATCCAATATAGAAGAGCAGCTTTATATGCTGGTAATGGTATATGCAAACCGTTCACTTCCGCAAACCTTCCACTCGTAACCTGTTGTAAGGCTGGCATAATACAATATTATATTGTTGGGTATAGAGAAACATTTGCAGTTATTTATAAGCGCTTTTAGTTTTTGTCACCCTCGCAATATTTATGGCACTGGCTCAGTTGTCATATTCAAAAACAAAAGGCGAATTATAATTGGCAGCGACATTAACTTGTTGCGGTCTAGAAATTATAATTTGTTACAACAGAGAGACATTTGCCAAAGAGTGACAAAAATTTAATTAACAAGATGCGAGGCATCTATTTATTAGACATGAAATAATAATTCAAATATGCTTTCAACAAGCCTAAAAATACATTTAAAATTAAATAAAATACTGAGTTGCCTATTTTGAGTGGAATATAATAATTAAAAGTGAATTTAGAGTGCAGAGCAGGAAAGTCAAATATTTGAGATTCCTAAGTTGTAAGGGAGGAAACTAAAAGTGTTGAAAAATGTATATACACATGTATGTATTATATTTATATATATTTATATAAGATCTGCAATAAACAGATTTTAAATAAATATAAGATCTACTTCACTTTAAATAAGATTAAATAGTGGACTTTAAAAAGAGATATATATGAGATATCTAAGGTAACTGAAATTGTAGCCAAATATCTGAATATTTGTATAATGTATATAGTTATATAACCAAGCGGAAGTCCCAGTAGATGGTGTGTAACTGTAAGTAAGTTTTATATAAACTCTAACGACCAATAAATAAATAAATAAATATTTATATACACCTTTTCCATTGCTCAATAAAAAAAAACGTCATTTGAATTTTGCAATTTGCACGCACGATTTTATTTTTGATCATTCGATTTTCGATTTCGCTTTTTATATGCAACTACCACAGTTTACATTACGTGTATCTACTTTTTTTTTATATTTTGCATCTGTATTTGTTATGTTTAATGTGTGTAGCCATAAAATTAGTTAATTGTGTCTGTTTTGGTGTGTATGAGTGTGTGTGTGTGTGTGTTGAATCTGATTTGTTTTTGCTCACGTTTTGCAGTTTATACAACTTATTGCTATACTTAATGCATTTAAATGCCTCAAAATCGCCATCAATTACTCGTACTTTAGTTTAAATACATATGTGTGTGTACGTATATATATATATATATAGACACAGAGGATATATTCGTATATATATGTGTGCTAGATCAAGCTTAGCGTAGTGTTATGCTCAAGATATGTACTCCACAAAAACCATGTGTATTCCAAACGGCTGTCAAACTAAATATATTACAGCTACTTCTCACCGCCCTGCGAGCCCAGCTCTTCGGCCCCCATCGGAGGGCCAGCAGCTTCCTGCTCGGCATCCGCATCTGTGTTACCGTTATCCTCCTGCTCCAGCTCGCTCTGACTGCCAATATTCTCGTTTTGATTGTTCTCCACCTTGATGTTATTCAGCGGATGCCAAATGTGGTTGCTCAGAGCTCCGTCGTCTTCCCGGGAGGCAGGACTCTGCGCCGGCTCCGATGTCGGTGACTTGCTGCTACTCCTCTCCGCAGCGTGCGGGTACTGGTGGTGGACACCAGCCCCGCCCAAGAAGTTGGGGAAGCCCAGCAGGCCAGGCGGATACGGATACTTAGCTCCATTTGCAAAGTGCGGCGGCGGTATGTTGGCAAACGCACCTGGACTCAGTTCACCGGGCTGATGTAAGGAGATTAGATTGAAGAGAAATGGAAATGGAAAGGGTTTCGCTTTAGTTGAAACTAAATGTAGATATCACTATATTTATTGAGAGTTTACTAATTATGGCAAAACTCAAACAAACATTCATAGAGTGTAAAGTCTCTCGAGAGCTTACCTTGGGTGGAATTCCATTGAAGAATGGCGGCAAATAGGGGAAGAAGAGCTCCGGGCGACGTTGCATGAACTCCTGCTCGGCAGAGGGCGCGCCATGTGCCGAGCCCGGGCCAGGTCCTGGGCGCATGGGCAGCTCCAAGGACATGCGCCGGCCCCGACGAGATGTTGGATTCGTCCACATGTGCGTGCCCATATGAACCTATAGAAAGCAAAGGAGTAGGCAAACAGGCAAAAAGAATGTGAGCTTGAGAGAGTCAGAGGGAGCAGCCCCAACTATAATGCACCTTCAGGTTGCCCTTGGTGGTGAAGGCCTTCTGGCAGACGTTGCACTGGAAGGGCTTGTCTCCGGTGTGGGTTCGCATGTGAATCTGCAGAGCGGAGCTCGAGCTGAAGTTGCGCCGGCAGACGTGGCAGAAGTGCTTGTTGTTCACCGGGGGATCGAGACTGGAGCTGGGTGGCCCGGCGGACATCAGGGCCTGCTGGAAGTCCAGCGGACTAGCTGGGAAGCGATGAGCATCTGCGAATGCGATCGGCGGCAATTGAGTGGAAATGTGGGGCGAGCGGGCACAGGAGATATCAGACTTACGCAACTGCATCTTCATCAGCGACTGCTCCGCATCGCCGGCCGCCTCCTGCTGATAGCCGGTGGCCGGGGCAGCCGCTACACCACTGTCGCAGCCACCCTCGTCGACCGGCAGCTGGTCGGAGTCGGGCTCCTCTTTAATGGATGCCGCCGATGGCGTCACGGGCTCCGCTGGCGCCGGCTCCTGCGGCTGCTTCGGCTTCTTGGCAAATAGATTTGGATTGAGAGTGAGCTGAAATACACATTGAGCGTAGACGTTCGGACTTTGAATTAGGGGCGCTAATTTCTTCGCGTTTGCTGCTTAATGTGGCGTTCAGATCCCACTTCGGGAAGTTCGGGCCAGACGCGGTTCTTAATTATCTTATTTCGAGCAGAAGCCACCGAAATGCAAAAGCATAATTCACAATTATTCTATGCCGGCGCACGGGCCTAATAATGCCAACTAATTATCTCGCACAGACAAAAACCGCCGGGTCTCATATTTTTATGGCAAAACAATTGTTTGCCGCGGACTCTCGTTCTGGTTGTTGTTCTTGTCGCCGCTGGCTGCCTCCCGGCGGCTGACACCCCAGCGCAGCCCCAGCTGCCCCACACAGATGCCGCTGATGCCGCGACAAACAAAAGATTAAATAATTTTGCATAAAGCGTAACATAATTTATTTGCATTGAATGCATCGCACACACCGCCACCGATCCGGCACACAGAACGTTCCGCCCCGCCCCCTACTCGCTCGGCTCGCCTCGCCCATCCCACTCCCATTGGCAGGGCGCTGTAGCACGCGAGGCGCGCGCTCACATTCGTGCGGAGGGAGCTGGCAGTTGTCTGGGACCAGACCAACTCGTAAATTTCGCATCATCATAATGCATTCTCGTAATTACTTACAATTTTTGAATCATTTAAAAATTTCCAAGACCAACGAACAACAGCAACAGCAACAGATAATGCTCAACTCCGTCTCGTATCTCGTGTCTCGCGTCTCGGGTCTGTCGTAGATCATCAACAATGTGTTAAGCGACCAAAACGGAGCACGGAGTGCGTAGAGCACACTAGAGACCACAGTCTGGCTGCTGGGCCTAACAGGGCTGATTACTACTCGAAAATGTTATGACATTTACACCGCATTCGCATTTGAGCCAAAATATCGCAAGCGACAGGAGCGCAGCGAGGTGACAAAGGGGCCCAAAATGCAAAAGTGCTTCAAGAGTGGGGAACAAAAAAAAGAGAGATTTGATCTTTCGCTTTTCATCATATTTGAAATACTTTAATATAATATTTGCACAATTTCTGATCTTTAGATTCAAAGAACTCAATTCATGTTAAAACGTTACAGTTAGTTCTCTTTATTATTAGCTAACCTTAGATTCTTAACCCTCTTCTACTATTTGCATGCAATTTTCGTATAACGAATAGGAGAAGCGGAGAAGTAAGGAAGTTAGCAATTCTCATTTGTCTTCATGTTCAGTTTAAGCTACCTTCACTTTTATATCTATAAATTTGATTTATTATCTAAGTATAGATATATCGTCGTATTCAAATATTCGCTAACAATTATGAAGTTATTCCAAACATAGGGTTTCTTTAGAAATAGATAAGTTAAGAAGAAGCTAAGCCATTCTATTTTATTCTCTATATTTGTAAAAATTCCAATTATTATCAAATTTTATTAACTCACAATTTTGGGGTTAGTCCAAGCATTTAGGAATAGAGTACGTGAGAAATGGACATGCTTAGAAGATTTAAACTCTCTCTATTAACTTCAGATTGACTTTAAGCTACTTGAACTTTTATATAAAAATATCAATTATTCGTTGGGGCTACTTTAAGAAATTATATTGGAAATTCTCTCTTCTTCAGATAGATGTTAAGCACCATCACTTTTACAAATATATTATTATAATAAATGTAAGTGTTAAACCTTCGATCCGTCACCGTATTTAAATATTTGCTCACAATTTTGGAGTTACTCCAAGAATTTAAAATATAATGAACGATGTCATTAGTCATATAGACAATGCCAGCAGCCAGAACCGCAGCCACATGAAAATGTGAACAAAACATTCTTAAATATTAATTTCGTGCATTTGTGTTTAAGTTATGGCCAGACACATGGCATAGACACAAACGCACACACACACACACCCAGTCAGACCTTACTTGACACACTACTCGACTACAGCCCTCTATCACTAGCACCCTCTCTCCACTCTGCCCTCTCCCTCTCACACTGGTCTTTGCAGCATTTTTACTGGCTTCGAAGGCGAACGCACTTTAATAAATAATTGGCATTGTTGTGTGGTGTAATCCCAGTGCTTAAAGTCATGCTCGATGCGAGTTTGGATGCTTTTGCTGCTTTAGATCTGCGACCGCCGCCGAGCGGAACGCCAACAATTAAGGCAAACTATGGCAGCGCGGCCACAATTTCTTCATAATAATGCCAAAGTGGTGAGGAGCGAGCGAGATGAGCAATTAATAATAAGCTCATAATTTGTATGGTCCTGCCTAAACGGGCGCAAGCCCAGTTTCCCAGTTTCCTCACTTTCTGCCCATATTCGGGCCTGCCTCGGCCATAACAATTCCATTAATGATGCCAAGACCGGGCCTCAGGTATTTCGCAGTAAACAACTTGTGCGCGCACAGCTGGCATTAGTTCTCATCATTAGATGAACTGGCTTCAAGACCAAGATAATGCATTTGCTTTAAGATAAGTAGAACTGATCGAGTGAGAAGTGCGCGACAGGGAAATACCCTAAGCAGAACCGTTTGCATAGGGAAATATGACAGCGAATCTTCCTAACTCTTCCATTCCGTTCAATGTTTGGAATCATCCATTTGGAAGCACCTTTGTTTGGAATTCAATTACACTTAATATAATATATAGAGTTGAGTCAAATACTCCAAATGGAGTCAAAGCTAAGCTTATGGAATGAATAAAGTGTGGACTAAACGCGAGTGGTCGAGTGGGAAGTGCTCGACTGAGAAATATCCTAAGCAGAACCACTTGGAGTGGCTGCATAGGGAAATGTGACAAAGCGAATCTATATTCTATATTCTATCATTCGAGAATGGATTCGGGTAAACGGAAGTAGTGCACTTAGGAACAGCTCCGTAGAAAGCTCAGATTTTGACTCAAGCTTTCAGACTCTTAGGATGCGGCAGAGGTATACCGCTCTGATGCTCTGATTTCATACGGCTTCTGATTATAAAAAAAAAAAAATCACAATAACGAGGTGTAGAGCTCAATATTTGTGCATTTTACAGTCACTTAATAAAATAAATTCGGAGATCTAATACACACGGATCGCCAGATTGACGAATAATCGGGTGCTAAACGAAACGATTCCTCATCAATACTATATATTATACACCTTAAAGGGCTAAGCACGGCTATTTCAAATATATTTCATTTTATGTAAAACAATATACCCTGCTTACACATATCCCATGGAATGCGGGGTATAAAGATCGTTAAATTAAAACATATATGATATACTATAACAGTGCAGATAGCTTATACATAACGGATGCGCACTTACCTTGGCTCCGTAGGGCGTGGCAGTCTCGTTGCAATGGGCTCGGCCGGAAGGAGCCGTCATTTCTTTGGCATGTTCGCTCTGTAGATGGCTCTCCAAGGCGGCCAGGCTTGGCAGCATCTTGAAGCACAAGTTGCACACATTTGGGGGCGGCTGCAGGCCTAAAGATAGACAGGCAAGGAAATAACAAATTACTCAGAAAGCCCGTCATGTGATACGACATAACTTTGGACGCGTGCTGCTGCTGTGCGACGGAACCGAAAATTCGATATAATAAATTTCAATCACTTTAAAAATGCTGTGACATAATGACGGCGCGATCATGAAGCGGCGCGTAATTCATTGAGAGTGCCCCCCTCCCTGCCGCCGCCGCCGATCGCGATGGATTGGTATTGAAAATGTGCGAAAAGTTTATAAATAAATTTTGGAATTTGGCATAGGCAGACGTGGCATATAAACTGTGGAATGGAATGGGGCTGTGCCGCTGTCGCTGCCTGTAGCTGTAAATGCTTTGTCTTGGTCCAATTGAGTTATGTCGCGGCAAGAACGCGAGATTTATCGCACAGCCACTGCCGCATGGCAAACAGCGTTCGGGTCAAAGGTGACAGACAAAGAGGCTTTGTCATCTCGCAACTGGCTGCCAACAGAGGCAGCTGAGGACTGCGTACTCACCCATTAAGCCGAGCGGTCCGAAGGGCAGCAGTGGAAACTTGGCATGCGTCTGGCCTAGCGCGTGCATCTCCTCGCGCGCCGCCGCCATCAGCAGCAGATTCGGCGGCATGGGCATGCCCAGCATCGGTAAAGCTCCAGTTCCACCAGCTGCTGCTGCTGCTGAATTGTTGCCGACTCCAAAGAGGCGCGCCGCAGCCGCTGCTGCCGCTGCCGCCGCAGCTGAGGCGGAGGCAGAGGCGGAGGCGGAGGCTGATGAAGGGGAGGGCGATGAGAGATCCATTGCGGGCATCTCGCCGCTGTTGCTTTCACGCCCACCGCCATCCAGATCCGATCTGGAGCGCTCGTCCTCGTGGCCCGGCCGTCTGTCTCTGTCAAGCAGTGTTGCCGTGGCCGCGCTTGAGTTGTCTCGGGAGTCGTCAGTGCTGTCCATGGTCATGAACTCGTCGAAGTCGCCTCCCTGCGACGACTCCGATCGCTGGCCAGAGTGATCCGAAATTGTGGTCGAGAAGTCCAGGGTGTCCGAGGTGCACATCGACTTGTTGGAGTTCTGATCCTCGATGCCCAGGCGTTCGGCCTCGCCAGCGCCCAGGCCCTGGCCCTGACCCTGACCCTGGCCATGCATCTGGCTGCCGCTGCCATCGTCCATGGTGTGGATGCGAATGTGCTGCTGCAGGATGATGCCGTTGGAGAACTTCTGGTGGCACACGGGGCACTTGAACTGGCTGCGCATGGGCGGCTTGATCTTGTGGATGCTCATGTGCGCCTTCAGGTTGCCCTTGGTGGCAAACGCACGCCCGCAGATCTTGCAGCGGAAGGGTCGCTCGCCCGTGTGGGTGCGTATGTGCATCTGCAGAGAGCTGCGACAGGACATGACCTTCTGGCAGAAGATGCACTGATTCGGATCGGTCAGCTTGTTCTCAATGTTGTCCACCAGCTGCTGCAGCTTCGATGTCTCCGATGTCTTGTCGATCTCGATTAGATCCTCCCACGACTTGTCTATGATGCGCTCCATCTGAGCCAGTGAGTAGTCGCCGGGTAACGCGACAGCCCCGTCGCGACTTGCCGAGGAGCGACGCACGAGCTTGACCAACTGCATGTGCTCGGACTGCTCCCGGTCCTCGCCCGGCGGGCTACCCCCATTGCTCGACTGACGCTTACGCACGCTGCCATTGCGACGATTCGCCGCTGCAGTAGGCGGCGTCGTTGACTTGGGACTCTCCTTCAACTTGTCCTTTTCCTTGCTCTCGGGCAAGGCTAAGCACGGCTGAACAGCATCCGTGGCACTCAGACGTCGGCTGCGCTCGGGCAGCGACTTGGGGGTCGGCGCGGCCTGCATGGGCGAATGCGACAGCTCCCTGGTCGGCTTGCTCAGATCCTCGGCTTGCTGTAGCTGTTGTCCGGGCATTGCCAGTGCCTGGAGCTCGTGCTGCTGCTGCTCCAATGCCGCGTGCTCGCTGCTGATGGGTGGAGGGGGCGGTGCTAGAGGCGCTGGCGTGGCGAAGGGTAGCCGAATGGGTGCTAGAGAGCCAAACTGCTCGGAGCCTGACGCCGAGGGCTGAGCCCCATTGACCACAGGCGGCAGCAGCATGGGAGGAAAGATCTGCGTATGGCGCTGGTAGTGCACCTTCAGGTTGCCTTTGGTAGTGAACTTGCTGCCACAGACGTTGCAGTGGAAGGGTCGCTCGCCAGTGTGGGAGCGCAGGTGTATCTGCAGGGCCGAGTAGCTGCCAAAGATCTTGCCGCAGTACTTGCAGCGATGCTTGAAGATCTCGCCGCGACTCTGCGCCTCCTTCGAGGCGTACTCCGAATACTCCTCCTGCATTTGGGCCGCATGCAAGCTCTGCGAGGCCGAGTCCAGCACCTCTTCCGTGCGGCGCTGCAGCATTTCGAGGCAGTTCGGCTCATTGGGCGCCGGCGGTGGGTCGTGATTGGTGATTATGCTCGATGCCAGACTGGAGCTGATGTCGCACATTAGCGGCTTATACTCATTCTCCAGCTCCTGGTCGACGTCAGCCTCAATCTCACGCTCCCGCTCAGCCTTGGCTCTAGCTACATCTTGCTCTCGCTCCCGTTCTCGTTCTCGTTCTCGTTCTGTATTGCACTCATTTGCTATTGCCTCCCTTTCCTTGCACATTTCCTGTTCCTCAGTCTTTGAACTCTCCTGCAGCCTTTCGTGGTCGATGTCCGCTGCCTCGCCATTCACGCTCGTCGGCTCTTTGGAAGGATCTGGCTGGTCCGGGTCCGTCTGCTCCAGCCGCTCCTCCTCCTCGTCCTCGTCCTCGTCCGGCTCGGCATAGTTCGGACCTTGCCTGCTTAGCGCTGCGACCACGCCACCCGCCCGCTTCAATTGACTCTGTAGATGCTGGATGAGCTGCAGCTGCATCAGATGCTGGCGCTGAACGTTGAAGATCGTCGACTGGACCATGGCCAGGTCGTTCGGATCGGACACCGATCCCGCCAGCGCAGTGGCCGCAAACTGTGCCACCGCCACTTTGGTATGTTGTAAAGCTTCTAGTGCCACATGTCCGCTCGTGGGCAAACGGCTGCCGGAGATTACCGACAAGTCCAGCGCCTCGTTGCTGTTCTCCGGCTGCTCAGTGCCGGGCAGCGACTGCTCAGCCTCGAGCTGTCGCTCCATCTCAGCATCTGGCGTCTCGTCTGCTGCGCTGCCATTGTTATTGCTGTCCGCACTCAGCTCCTTCGCCAGCAAACTGTCCCTGTCGGTCGTGGGGTCGGCGACCGACGAGCTGCCCGCACTGGATGAGCCACTGCGCGTGCCTGTGCTCCGGTAATTGATGCGATTGCGAAATATTGAACACATTCTCCCCTGGAACGGCCGATGCCGAGCGCTCCACTTCCTTTGATTCAATCTCGATCTTGGACTCTGACTCTGGCTGTAGCTGTGGCTGTGGCTGATATCACTCAGATTGCTGTGGATGAAATGGCAAAGTATTGGAATCAGATTGTGGGATTAATCAAATTTACGCACATATTCCTGGCAAATTATTTGCTATAACCGACGAGATGTCGATGCCGTCACGTAAGGAGGCTCCGACCCGGTCAGACTTTATGATAAATTTTTGAATATATGAATAGCGTCATGTCGCAACTTTAGGTGATGAATAAATGAACGCATTGCATATTATTAGGGGCGTATAACTTAATTGTAACCCACCTAACCAGCACGCCGGCCCATACATACATCTATCTATCTATCTGCCTATCTATATCGAAGCAATGCTTTTTTCTGCTTTTCCTTTTTTTTCGGTGGACTTTCTGCGTGCGGGTCTTGGGATTCTGAATTATTGTAAACTGAAAGCCTCAACGCGATTTTGCGTTTTGCATGAGCCATTGGCTTGGGTAATTTATTGATATATTACTTGGAATCACTCAGCATAACTTTGTGTTGATCCCATTCGATTTATTCCGGCTATATCTAATTTTCTTTACTAGTCAACTGTACACACATATATATATGCATCTATCCACATACACATATACATATATCTTATAATACGGAAATGCTAAAAGGCCCTTTTTTCTCACATTCAAATGGGCTGCAATGATTGTTGGATGAATATCGGTCAAACGCGTAATCGCACTTCTTTGAACGTCGACTATTTTCCGGACTATTACAGAACAGTTTTCTCCAATATGCAGAGATTTGGAATGCAAAGCGTGCTTGGATTTTGATAATAATTTGAGAAGCAGCTTATGCAACCTATCTCTGTCAGCCTTTCCTTCTCTCTGTATCTGATCTGTATCTGTATATCTATGTACATATATCTACATCTACATCTATATCTATATCTATATCTATATCTATATCTATATCTATATCTATATCTATATCTATATCTATATCTATATCTATATCTATATCTATATCTATATCTATATCTATATCTATATCTATATCTATATCTATATCTATATCTATATATATATCTATATCTATATCTATATCTATATCTATATCTATATCTATATCTATATCTATATCTATATCTATATCTCTATGGAGCATCAAATCGATTTCAACATTCTAATTCTACATGTTCGCAAATAGTCTCTAGCACCGTGACTGAGTAAGAGGAAGACAAGTAAAGCAAATATTTCACAATAATCGATGCGCACATGAGCATAGAGTCGGTGTTGCTATTGAACGAATCGTTCGTATTACGTTCGATTGCTTTATGATTATTTCCCGGCAATTAAGTGAATTTATTGGCAAAGGTAAACACAAGGTGTGCCCAGACGCCCGCCCTGCGCCCTGCGCCACCCTCTCCTTCGATAATAGCCATAGCCAGATTGTTTGGCTATCCACAATTCGTGCTCAGCACACATACATTATATCGATTGGACGCTCGCTTGGAATCGTCGAGATGAACATATCGTATAGTATTTCTATCAATGCCGACGCAGGCGAATGGTATCATCCGAAATCAATTTGTTTAATGCAGCAACGGCCTCCACAGCGACGCACTTTTCCCAAAATCAAAGGAGGGAGGGGAATGGGATGCTGTGGGTGGTTAGTTGGCTTTCCTAGCTGCCTGTCGGCCGGGCTGATGGGTGTTTCTTGGGCACCTAGCTCTGGTGGAAAGTGTTGACCGAAGTCGGAGCGAAAGTCGGTAACCCTTGAGTGGCCAGCCACAACTTATTCCACTTGAGCTGATTTCTTGAGCAATTTACGCACAGCCAAAAACATAAAACTTCCGCAATTGATTTGCCTTCCATCTTGAAGGCGTCGAACGGTCATCACTTGACACTGAGATGCTGAGATACTCAGATGCTCCAGTGCTGAGTTACTCAAATGCTCAGATGCTGGCAAGCTTTTCTCTCCACCCTTACATTTGTCATTCACTTCGGTTCGTGTGCTGTGGAGGCTCCCGAAAAAACTCACGCTTCCTGCCCAGCAGGTGGTCCGGCCCCAACTTGAGAGGAACTCTAAATCTTGCCCCACACACACACACACAGTGGTATATATACAGTTGGTCTCGCTTCGATCGACTAGCTGGCGGGCATGCGTAAATATTGTATCTGCGAGATACAACAAACCGTCAATCATTTGGTAGCAGCGTTAATTATGGATGTACGAGCCTCTCACGTACATTTGTTTTATTCACAGCGGATATGGATCAAAATTCTATGCAATTTGCCTGACTGATTGATGGCACACGCATCCAGCATCCACCCATCATGGTAGAGATACGAGTACTTTCATACATCCGGATTGCATCTGAAATTTTTAGCCGAGCAAGCGAAGAGCCAAAATAAACAATTGATTGAGTGATTGCTATTGAGATATTGATTAAGTTTTGCCATTCCGACAGTCAATTCCAGCCAATCGAACATTGATTTTGATTTGAATAATCGCAAGAGCTGAACGAGATGTGATTCACCGAAGTTCTATTCATAAATCTAAGAAGTTAACTTATGATTCCTGAAAGTGTTGAGCATACAAATACGATATTCATACGATATTTATGGTGAAAATAAAGAATAGCATATAGTAATTCAACCTTTAAAAGAAATTAATGTTCGTCTTGAATATGTAAATACGATATCCATACGATATTCAGCTAGTAGATACGATAAAATAAGTTAAGTCTTAAGAAAATAAATAGAAAATATATATGAATAGATGTAATACGATATTATACGATATTCCTTCTATACTTGAATACTGCACACGATCAGAATATTCACGATCAGAGGATTTTGTAATTAAACGATTCGAAAAAAGGTTATTTATTAAGTTTAGTTTATTAATATTATAAATATTAAGAAATAATGTTTTTAAATATGGAAATACGATACCATTTGAATACATCAAACACAAGATTTTAGTAATTTTTGTCTTAAATATGAACATACGATATTCGTAATTCACTTATACGATGTTCAGCCAGTACTTGAAAGTTATAAATGATAAGAAGAATAATAAAATAAATATGAAGTATATACATAGATATGTTTAGGAATATCTCATACAACATTGTCGAAGTAATATTTGTCTTAAATATGCTCATTCGATATGCATACGATATTCACTCGAAACATAAAGATTGCATACCATAAAAACACAACTGAGAAAAAAGAAAGAAATGTATGTGCCAAGTTTAATGAGCTTTGTTTAAAATATGCTAAGGTGGGGTGAGATGGAAGGAGAGGGACATCTGCATCAGAGAGAGAGGGCGCGATGCTTGGGAATTAAGCATGAAGAGTGGTTGCTGGATAATGGTAAGGGGTAACGGGTATGGAGCTCCAATAACTTGCAGTATTTAAAAGTCTAAAGACCGGAGCGCATACAATGAGTGGAACGGGCCAATGAAGTTTCAACTGGAGCTGCGACCGGACACAGAGCAGAGCAGAGAACAAAATGTCTGCAAATTTATTAAGCTGCGGAAAAAATTTTATGAGTTGAATTGGTATAATTTTCATATAATTTTTTTTTTTTTTTTCTTCTTTTTGAGAAAAAAGAAACCAAATGGAACGACGATACGAAGACGATGACGACGGCGACGACGCTTAAAGTGCAGACTCAGACGCCGGAAGGGGCTACGGCGGACCAGAGGGCAATCAACCAGTTGAGCAGCAGACGCCGCGGGTGCTGTCGGAGGTTGAGGTGTAGAGCGAGAGAGGGGGCGAAGAGGAAGAGAGCGAAACGAAGTGGAGAGGAGCAACGGAACAAGCGCCACACACACCGTTCAAGCAATGGACGTCTGTGTGCATGTGTGTGTGTGTGTGTGTGAGAAATGCAAATGTCTGCGTGTCTAAAGACGAAGGGCAGGACAGCAGTGCAAAGCGAAGAAGAAGGAGAAGAAGCAGCAGCAACAGCAGAAGCAGCTAAAGCAGACCAATGCCAAGTGGCCAAGTGGCCGGAGCGTGTCATGGAAGGGGGAACTGGACAACACACACACAGAGACATACACACGCACACACACACACACACTCATAAAGTTGCTCTGGGCCTTGTAGATGAATTTGTATTGTTTTGCATTTGCTTTTGGGGCGCTACTTTGTTTTTGCTTTAGCTTTCGTTTTTATGTTGTTGTTGTTCGTTTTTTTTTTTTTTTTTTTTGTGCTGGCCTGCCTGCCTGCTGGCAGTTGCTGTTGCTGTTGTTGTTGTTGTTGTTTTTGTTCGAAAGGAATAATAAAGGCCAGTCAGGGCGAAAAACGGTAGAATGAGGGAGCTGCAGAGCGGGGCAACGGGTGTGGGTTGTGAGGGTGGAAGGGGGAGAGAGAGGAGGACAAGAAAGGCGCAGGAAGAGTTGTTAAGCTGCCATTGCAAACAATTAAAATCATAAGAGACGCACATAAATTATTCATGGCTTAATCTAAAGTGGACAATCTATGCAAAGTACTCAGCACACACACACACACACACACACACACACATGTGTGTGTTTATGCATTGGTATATAGGTGCATATATAAGCTGCTTTCTATTGGCAAGTTCTAAGCAAAATTTCTATGCCAAAACTAAAACTCGGTTTTACATATTTTTCTTTTCTTTTTGTGACTCATTATACATAGACAAAATATATATAAATAAATGTAGATGTGAAATAATTACAATTACATCTCTTTTGAAATATATAAATTGAAAAAAAATAGATTTAAAAAATTGATTATTTGTTTAATGTTATATATGAAACATATAATAATTTTACAAATTTATTTGAGATATATTGAAAAAGAATTCAAATTAAATTTGTATTCCTATTTACAAGTTTATATACTTTATGAATATAATAAATATATAATATTTAAATAACACATACTGACAAATATTTAACATTTTAAATTATTAAATAAATTAATATTTTTAAATTACTGTAGCAAACATGTTTTATTTTTATTGTAATAAAAAATCGTAAAAATTTTTACGCATTTAATAAAAACGTCAACCGCAATAGACTGAAAAGCAAAATTCATCGACTTATTGAAATTTATTTCACGCTTTAGCAACAAAAACAAATGCATTTTATTGTATATTTCTACACACACACACGCGCACACACACATACACAGTCGCATATATCTATATAAAATGTGCAAAAAATGTGTTCATCCACATTACAAAAATTTCTATAAATTTATCGCTGAAAATAATAAAATTTTGTGGCTTTTTGGCAAATATTTGGACAGCGCAAGAAATGAAAATGAAAACGAAAAGAAAAAGAAAAATGAGAATGAAAATGATGAAAGTGCGCGCTAAGAAATTGTGTGTAATCACATGTGTGTGTGTGTGTGTGCCTGATATATAGATATATAGCCAAGTGTCGACAGTTGCGATAGCTGCGCACATTTCTGTCATAACGAAACGAAAATGAGAAATATTTTTGCTCAGCTTTTCCGTCTTTGACTTTATCAAAATGAAAATAAATAAATAATAAAAATAACAAAAAGTAGAAAATTCTAAATGAAATCGCATGCCAATAAATACAAATAAATATGCGCTCGATTCAGGGCGTCGGCACCGGAGGGGGCGGGGCGAAAAATGAAAAATAGACTCGGACCAAGAAAACGTTTCGAATTTTATATAAAATGAAATAAATGAATTTATTGTCGGGCAGCATTCGCAGACAACGGAGACACACAGACGATAATGATGATGACGATGATGATGACGATGATGATGATGATGATGATGATGCTGTTGACTGTTTATGATCATGATGAGGATCGCCATGATCAACAGTTAGCTGGGGAAATGAAATCGCGCAGCTCATAAATTAATTAAGCCAATAAATGCATTAGGCAAATGCGATTGCAGTTTCTGTATCTGTGTGTGCTTGCATCTATGTGTGTGCAAATGTATCTGTGTAGCCAGAGCTAGTTGCTAGTTGTTGTTGCGCTTGTTATGCTCAAACCACCAAACCATTTAAAGTCCACAGTCTCTGCTGATATCCTATAAATATTGTTTCATTGATATATTTAAGAAATGACTAACTGTTCCTTATGTGTATCTATAAGATAGTTTTGTACCTATGATTAAGTATTTCTTACTACAGTCATCTGTTGAACAATTATTCATAGATGCAAAAGTATCTGTATCTAGTGCTGTTTGCTGTTGGTTTTACTAAGCTGTAATGCTTTTCATGAAATGAGTAAAGATTTTTGCTGTTGTTGTTGTTGCCTACATATTTGAATCTGTGAGATAGTGTTGTATCTAACGATAAGTGTAGTCGCTTTGATTCTCGCATTCTGCAGCTTATCCTACTAGCACTTGACTGTTGCTGGCATTTGTATCTATAAGATAGTTTTGTATCTAACTATGTGCTAACTATGCCTAGAGCAAATGTATCTTCGCTGGGATAATTGTTATTGTTCTCATCATTCCTCCTTGCCTTTGACTATTATTTGAGCTTGTATCTATAAAATATTTTTGTATCTCTGGCTACCTATGCGTTACTATAATAATCAATTAACATAAGTTACATATAAATATATCTGTATCTATGATTAGCTAAACTCATCAACCGAATTCATATCTTAGCTCACCGACAGATTCTCCTGCTTTCATTTGACTATTGCTTGAATTTGCATATATAAGATAGTTTTGTATCTATGGCTAAATATATGTGATTATGATGATCCTCTATAATAAATAATCACCATAATGAAAAATGCATAACTGAAGACCTCTTGTCATTCCTGAGTTCTACAGTTTCACCTGATTATCGTATCTATAAGATAGCTTTGCATTTGTTGCTAATCATGTCTTACTAATGATGAGCACTTACCATAATGAACTCACTCACTATAACTCTCAGCTCCAATTATGCGCCCTGCTGTTCGCGACTGTTGCTTGCATATGCATCTATAAGATAGTTTTATCTGCATCGTGTCAATTTGTAGTTGACTAAGCGCAATAATTAAGAATTAAGAAAAATAAATATAATAAAGAAAACTATGCGCATGAGATTGAATCATAAATTTACTATAAAGAAATGGCATTAAATTGGTGAAAGGCAAATGTATCTTTGCATCTGCAGGTGTAAATGGAATATAAATCCTATTTACTTATTGGTCTAGTTTTTATTATTCTTCCTCTTCTGAAGCATCTATATGTATCATCATGCATTTTCAAGCGCCTACAGCTGCCTTTGGTTTACTGTCTCTGCAAGATACTTTTGTATCTTATACTTGTTCCACATTCATTTTGCCCATGAAAACAATGATGATGATGCTAATAATGCTGTTCATGCTGATGATGTAGGCCCCACACTGCTGACACGAGATGAAATCATAAATTCATTAAGCCAAACAAATGCTAAAGTGTGGCCAATGCAATTGTATCTTTGTATCAGCAACTGCACACATGCAAACGCACACACACACACACACACATATATGCGTATGTATATCAATACATTTAGTTGCTGCTGTTGTCGTGCTTAATTGCTCATCATTCAAATCTTAAGCGTCCTCTTAAGCTGCTGCTGCTGCTGCCGCTGCCATTTGACTGCTGTGCGTATCTGTAAGATACTCATGTATCTGACACCTGTCATCTTTTCGTTTAACCTACGCCCCCGAGCTGTTCACCCCCAACTCGACTCGGTTGCTGTGCTAATTTTACTCATCCAATATGCGTCTCTCTCTCTCTCTCCCTCTCTCTATCTGTGTGTGTGTTGCGTGTATGTGCGTGTGTGTGTGTGGATTCTAGCACAACATGCGCCCAGTTGTAGTGCGTGCTGTCATTCTGAAGTTGTATCTCGTGCCCATGCCGAGACGTCAATAATCTCACCTTTCGATTCGTCTCTTGTATTTATGTTTAGCTTTGACATAAGTCCGACATGCAACATTTTGTTACTGCTGCTCTTCCTCTTCTACTGCTGCTTATAATGATACTCATTCAAGAATGGCAACGGGGTATATTGGGTCTGTAAGGGGCTTTGTGAGAATACTCTGTCTGCTTGCTTTTGGCATATATATTCTCATTCATAAGCCTATCGTAGAGGTGTTTGATATGAAACATGGATTCTAGATTATTTTTTATATGCTTGACCAGGCACTGTGGGCGTGGCCAATCAGGAATTAACATATATTTGACAGCAGTAAGGCTATTGCTTCTGGCTATATTCAATGCATATACTTTGAATGTGATAAATAGATATAAGCCGATAGCTTATATCTTAAACATATGTACATGATGCTGCTCTATTAATTTTATTTAGTCTGAGGTGAGCCCGTGTCAAATGGATGTTAAAACTGTAAGTTTCACAGTTTGCGAAACGTTTTCATTGTTAACAACATTTTGGCCAGTTGGTTAAGTTAGGAAGTTTCCTTTTGGAACAACTACTATACAAGTTTGTATATCGCATTAAAATGCATATATCTGTGCGAATCGAGAATTACTTAATATTATATTATTATTATACTATACGGTGAGACTTAATATTATATTATTATTATACTATACGGTGAGTAACATTAATAATCGGTTTTAATATTTTTCGACTTCAAATGCAAATAAAGCATGTAAAATTTAAAAACTATAAGTTGAGGATTGAAAAATTATCTTTTCAAAGTGGTTTTATCGAAGTATTATATTTATTTATTATGAATATTTTTTCAAAAGTCCCATTGCAAATTTGTATTTCAAATTTTATATAGATTTAATCAGTATGATTAGAGAAAATTATAAAATAAAGTAGAGTAAAATATAAATTTGACAATTACTGTTACACATTTTTTATTTAATAAGGCAAAACTTTCAATGAAAATAGACAATTTCGATAAGAGAAACTTTACGCCTTATATGTAATTTGAATGTAGCTTTAATAATATATAATCTATATAAAATATATTTAATAATTACTGCATTTAGCAGTACATGTTTTTATTTATATATAATAGAATCATTCGATAAAAGAGCATAAACCCTTTGAGAGGTATATACATATTTACATAATATAATAATTGTAGCACATCCGCCTCCTAAATATACATAGTTACTATAAAATTAAGGTAAAATATATTTAAGATTTAATGTATGTAGCTGCACATACTTTTATTTTGATAAAGCAAAACATTAAATTGGAATAGTTTTTCTCTGCAAAATAAAAAAATTGATAGTATATTCACTTCTACCCACGTTATAAAGATTAAATAAAACAACAATATGCTAAGGTTATTTGAAATCTAAAATTTCAGAGTTTCTATTAATTGCTCACCCATTCTATATATACATATAAATTAATTAAATTTATATTTTAATAGAATATAACGATTATCAATTAGGAAACAAGTTTTAAAGACCTAACCTTAAAGCCGTATTTATTGGACAGTTTCAAGGTGGAACTCGCAATTGGCTAATTGTGGAGCTGCTCTAGATGAATTTAAAAATTAATTTTTACGATTAAATTTACCTATCATTAATTGTGCAATTAACGAGTCTGATAATGTAGCCCAATACTAGATATTGCCAAACTCTATTCCTCAACATTTCTCATTCCAACAACAAATTCCATTAACCAAATGCAAAAGAACTTTAAGTTGAAGTCTTTAAGTCTAAGCTGCAAACCTTTTCTTGTTGGCCACATTAAACTCATTAAGTTTTAGTCGAATTCGAGTTGAGTAAAGAAAACTTTTAGGCAAAAGAGGGAAAATTTTACAAATGAAATATTTGCACTGTGTTTTCTGAAATGTATCCCATCTTTAACTTCACAGGCAAATTAAATTTATATAGTTTATTTAAAATTAAATATATATATAATTCCTTATTTAACTTAACTCTTAGCTTTTAATTTATTTTTTTTCCTTCCATACTCACATTTTCGTTAATTTCTTGCATTGCTCATACTTTATCCACTTTTGGTAAACATTTTTCAAACACTTTTGATTTTGTTCTTCTTTTCTTTTTTTTTTTTTTGCCGTCGGCAGGATGTATTAAGCAAATCTTCTTCTTCTTCCTCCTCTTTGTCGCCTTTTTCGTGGACTTGATTTAGTTGTCTTTGTTGTCTCACTTCACGTTTTGGGCGTTTCTTTTCAACAAATTCTATTGCACATATTTAAAGTGTTTTTTGTTTTTGCTTTTTGCTTTTTTGTTGTTGCTGCGTTGCCATTTGCATTTTGTTTTGTATTCGCGTATTTGCGTATTTTGTATTTGTGTTTTGTTTTATTTTATTTTATGATTAATTAAACACACGCGACCACAAAAACTTCGACGTCGACCCCCCGCGCACTTTTGCCACATGACACGACAGCGCTCACACCCACACACACACACACAGAGCCACACACACACGAGCAAGCACACACGCACTCACTCACACACACACGCACACACAGAGACGCTGGCTCACATACGCACACGCACTTAAAGCTGAAGATGAAACGGGAGAGGAAGAGGAAGAAGTCAAAAAAATAAGTAACGTGCGTGAGCTGCGTCGACGACGATGACGGCGACGGCGGCGGCTGCGGCGGTAATAAAAACCGTTAACTAGCCAGTGGGCGGCTGGCGCGGCTGCTGCTGCTGCGGCGACTGCGATCGCTGCTGAAGCTGTCAAAAATTGTATTATTGCTGCTGCTGCTATTGGCGCTGTTGTTGTTGTAGTTGTTGTTGTTACTTTGGCAACAATAATTTGTTGTGATTGTGTGAATGGCAAATTAGCTGTAAACTGGCCACGGGTAACGGGCCGCGGGCAACGTAACGGGGCAACACTGTCAACTGGAGGCTCTAAGGCGGCTGACCAAAAGCCAAGAAGTGGCGGCTGTTGCCTGCTGCCTGCCTCGCTGGCTGCCTGAACTGAACGCTGAACGCTGAACTGTCGCTGGCGCTGTCGTTGGCGCTGCCGTTGGCCGTGGCGTTGGCCGTGACTGGAGCCGAAGCAGAGAATGTCCTTTATGGATTTAACGAGCGTGCGGCGCAGCAAGAAAAACGAGAAAACGAGAAAACGGCAACGAGGCAACGAGACAACGCAGCAACGCAGCAGCAGCGCAGCAGCAGCGAATCGAAGTGTCGCTATCCGTTGGGGGCAGATTTTCGTGTTCGGGCATTGCAAAAGCTTAGATGGCAGCAACAACAGAGGCAGTGGCAGTAACAGCAGCGAGAGAGCGAGCCAGAGAGTGAGCATTGCATGTAAAAGTGCGTGCAACGTTTTCGAAATGGCGGGGAATTGACCGTATAAGACTGTTAACGTACTGTTAGTGGGCATGCTTAACAGCGTGTGTCGCTGTTAAGCGGGCAACACATTAGCTGTGCTCCTCTAACGCACGCATTGCTGCCATTTATGAATGGTCTTGACTGTGTACGCGAGTGTGTGCATGTGTATGTGCCTCAGCGAATGCCATAAATCAAAAAGAGACTCGCTCTCCTCGCTTGCTTGCGTGTGTGTGCGTGAGTGTGGGCATTGGCTCTTCTCTCTTGCCGGCTGCCGAGCGAGCACTCGCAAGAGCCGACGGCGCACAAATCGATACCCCCAAGCAGCGGACAGCAAACGAAAAACTGTCCGACAGCAGACAACGTCATCTTCGGGGCAGCGCAGCGCTAAGTTTGTTTTTGCGCAGCGTCATTGTCGCTGCTGCCGCTGCTGAGCCATCGACAAATAAATAAAACGCAATGTAAAAGCAAAAACAAATTATGACAACTTTAGGCGGAGCATAACGAAAAATGTGAACGAAATGTGAAGCGCTGCCAGCGTCGCAGCGAATCTCTCATTTCTTTTCTTATATTATATTCTCAACGCTGGCAGCGCTCAATCATATTTCTGTCTGCGTTTGTGTGTGTGTGTGTGTGTGTGTGAAATATAGTGAGCTTACGATTGACTGTGTGTGTGTGTTATTCTTTATTTACTTATGTATTCTCAGGTTGATTTTTTTCAGCTGCTTCTAATACTTTACCGTTGGTCCTTTAGCAGCCATTGCGAAAACAAAATGCCGTCGGTAATGAGAGAATTCCAATTGGAATTGGTGCAGCTGAAGCAAAGCCATTTTATAGAGTTAAGCAAAGCATTTCACAGTTATTTATATTAAGGAATTTCAATTCAAATTGATTTACTTATTTGCTCATCGCTTAATAATTGAATTTCTGTTTCTGTTCATCTAATTTCTTAATTTCAATTCGCTCGCATATTTAAGAACTCGAATTCCATGCGGGAACCCCTTCTGCTCAAATGCCACACAGTTGATGCAGTTTGTGGCATGAATTATGCATGCCACCAATTGCATTTCATTTGTAGATAAATACGTGCGTATCTTCCACGCACATACATACACATAGCCACATACATACATATGTATAGAGGCATACATAGTAGGCACAACCCTCTCCCATATAATCTGAAAGTATTCGTGCGGAACATCTGCCCGCTGCGTGAGTTTATGAATTACAAAAAAAAAAAAAAGAAGAGAATACTTTATACAAGCAAGAACAACAACAGTTACACGAATGTGGACAAATTTCAAAATGGTTTCACATTGAATTGAAAAAATTGAAAATGAAATGAAATGATAACAAACAACGAGAGCAAAAACAATAACAACAAAACTTCACCACCCCGAATAAAATATATTTCAAAATGTATTTCAAAATCCCTCGGCATTAGGGATCAACTAATAACTAACCCTCTCCCAATTCAGCTCAACTCGACTCATCTCTCCCTCTCTCACGACCTTTGAACCGAATACCTCACACACTAAATTAGCAAACTCTAAATAAATCCAAAGCAAATGCCAATGAAATACCAACAGAACCTGGAAAAAGCAGAGTTAAGTTCATACATTTCCTTATAGACACAGCGTCTAGACCCTAACAAAATAATTCCCAGACCCAATGTCGTTTATCATAGTGCAACGCATCCAATAAAAAAAAAAAAAAAACAATTTTCAAAACGTGGGCAAAGATGATGGCCGCCAAAGAGTAAGAGAGAGAGAGAGAGAGAGAGAGGGAGAGAGAGCGCGTGAGGGAGACAGGGAGATAACAAGTGGAATTTCTATGCAAATCGAAACACGTTTTAAAATTTTGATGACGCCGATTTGTCTCTCCACATTCATAAAATATCAAACCAAAAAAATAACAGAGAAAGAGAGGAACAAAAACCAAAAAGTGTTTCAAGAAAAACCTCGACAGGAAAATCAAAGTCAAAGCGAAGCCGACCAGAACGCAGTCAACAAAGCAATAATTAAAATCGGAATAAATTATTATACACCTTTCAAAGGTAAATGCGACAAATGCCCAGAGAACCGAAACCGAAACTGAAACACAAACTGAATCGAGTCGAGATGTTGAACAACGCTTTTAATCAGCATGAGAAACGTGAGTCGGAAATCTATTCATGTCCATTGATTACGAATGCCTAAACTAAAGCTAAAGACAATAAGAACCAGCAGCAGCAGAAGTAGCAGAAGCAGCCGAAGAAGAAGGAAGAGAAGAACGAGCAGAAGAAGCAGCAGAAGAGAATGCATGGTTAAAAACACATTTAAGTAGATTATTTTGCGATTATTCACAATATTTTGGTAGAGAGTTGAAGGGATTTCCAATAATTGATAATTAGATGAAGAAAAGTGTAAAAGGGGAAATAATATGAGGTGAAAATACACTATAAAGATTGCTCTAGACAGGTGCGTCTAGCTAGAAGTTAAATTAAGCTCTGTGAAAAATATATACATAGTGGTCCATTCTCGTTAATACTGTAAATCTACATTCAAAATTTGAAGGATTATAATACTATGTATATACATTCTATATATCCGCGTTTATAGCCAGCGAGTTATTAAAATAGCACAGACTTAAGGCATGTTCTCATTTAATGTTGATTATTTTAGTAGATTTTACTTTATTCTTCTTCAAATAAAATAAATAAATAAATCATTTTGGTAAATATATGTAAAAATATATTAAAAAACTTAAAGTTTTATTAGATTTTAAAAATTGTACGATTTTACGCTCTACGTATATAGTATAAAGTTGTATGGATGGGCGTGGCTAAGTATATCTCCTCAGACTCCAAAATCAAATAACTGACATTTGATAAAAAGATTAAAAGTTATAGATGCTATGCAAAATGATTTCTTGAATTTGAAATAATCTATGTAACACAATAAATGTTATCAAAGCTGAGACCTTGATGCTATATCTATAAGAAGCATTCTTCCAACTGGAGACACAGGCAGAGAAATGGATTAATAAATAGTTGAATGGATAGATGATAAGACTTTCAGCTATCTGTACTCTTAGTCTGAGGAATCTTGCGTAGATCTGATAATGCCTTAACTTGACATACTATAAGATAAGTCTTAGTTATATACATTACATATTTATATATAAATCTTAACAGGAATCCCAGATTACGAATTTTGAATTGAATGTTTTATACCCGCAGCTATTATTAGCGCACTAAAAAAACTGAAAACAATTTCAACTCAATTTTATTTAAAGTTTCTTCTTTAGAATTTATACTTCACAGTTCTCTTTAAGTATTTGATCGTAAACCAATTTGAATATCGTAACATTTGCTGTTTTCAATCAGAAAAGTTTTTTATATTTATGTGAGGCTTTAATGCGTTTTCCCCCATTGAATCATATGAAAGGCTCGCATGCATCATCGCGCTGAAAGTTCTTCAAGTTGTTGACTAATTCGACCAGATGCAACTATTTAAATAGGTCTTCGATTGTTAATCGAATACAAAAACTATATAAACTTTCAAATAAATGACGAGGATGCCATTTGTTTTTCTTTTTTTATTTACCACGAACGTAACTCGAGCTCTGAAATGGGTTTTATTTTTTCTGGTACATCATAAAAATGAGATACTTTAAATGTGAGTTACTCGAGAGGGTAGAAGGAAGGAGAACAGATTTGATTTGTCCAGAGACTGATTTATGTGAACGAAACTCTTAGTTTATTACTTGCGGGATAGAACGAGGTAAGATTTTCAGCTATTGTATTTCTAGTAAAATGTTTTGTTTATTTGCATTTAATGTGCTCAACTTGAATTTAAGACTCTTGCCAGAACTGACCTTGGGCCGGGACATCAGGGCTGCCTGAATGCCCGACTGCCTGGCTGGATGGCTGACTGGCTGACTGGCTGACTGGCTGGATGGTTGGTTGGTTGGCTGGCACTTTGGGTCATTTACTCGATTGCGTTTAATCGATTTCTTTGTAAACTCGAAACCAATGTCAACAGCCCCAACAAATTCACAGATACACACAGATACACAGCCACTCACAGATAGACACAGATACAGATACACACATACACCTATACAGATACAGCTACACAAATAAGCAAATTTCAAGTGGAAACTAAAGAAATTTGCTTCTTCTTCTTTTCTTTTTTCTGGCCTCGAAGCGCAAAAACATTTACACACTTTAACGAAGCAAAAACATTTGAGCAAACTGCCAAAAAATAAGAAAAGGAAAACGAGTGAGCGCAGGCAATGCTGACTGCGTAATACTCGCTCATGGCACGATTATAAATAAATTATTTAAAGAATTTATATCTTTGTATTAAAAGCTTAAAGCTTTAAGTGTAGATATAGATTAACTAATATCCAACTGAACAATCTGTGGATTCCAATTTTAAAACTATGTAGAATATAGAAGATGTAGATAGAAGATATAGATAGATGATATTGATATAGACTGTTCCGACTCCAAAAGTTTTTAGGAGAGAGATCAGTTCTAAAGTAGACTATAATTTATATAAGGCAATCAAGATCTGAAGACATTGACTCTAAGGTATTATCCAATGGACTATATAAAACTGATTGTGTTATATAAACTGATATATGATATAATACGAAATCCAGTGAGCTATATAAAACTGACAACATTATATATTCTTATACATGTATGGAATTTCTTGTTGAACAATTGTGGAAGTACATTTACATTTTTTACAAAACTCATATACTCTATTTCACTTTAAGAGCGAGTATGGCAAAAAAGAAAAATACAAATAGAATTCAAATTCTGGGACAAAGA